TGGTGTGGTTTGCTCCCTCTTTTCTATCTAACCTCTATCGTCCTGGTTTCTCCTCCTTCTTGTGGGTGGTTAGCGGGTGCTCTGGTGTGGTTTGCTCCCTCTTTTCTATCTAACCTCTATCGTCCTGGTTTCTCCTCCTTCTTGTGGGTGGTTAGCGGGTGCTCTGGTGTGGTTTGCTCCCTCTTTTCTATCTAACCTCTATCGTCCTGGTCTCTCCTCCTTTTTTGTGTTCGTTACTCTCTTGTGACATTTCTAATAGTGTGCACTTCTATGATCTTATTTGGTTGCAAGTGCCGTAAAACTCTTTACTAAAACTGAACTCTGTGCCTCCCCCCACCGTCCCCAGTGTGAAGAGTCGGCTGAACCAGTCCCAGAGGGAGGAGCTGGGCCTGATAGAGCAGGCCTTTGACAACCCCCACGAGGCTCTGTCTAGGATCAAACGTCACCTGCTGACTCAGAGGGCCTTCAAGGAGGTGGGTACTCCCTGTTTGTTCTCTGACTTTCTCCCCAGTGGGCAGAGAGTTCATGGACTTTTACCAGGTACCACAAACTACATTTTCAAACTAGTTGTATGCCAAATGTATCTGTTCCATTTGAAAGGCCTATATCCACTGAGCATTTTGGTACCATTCTTTAACCTCTCCGTCAATGTTTAAGAAAATGGTAGTTGTTTAAAATTTGATCAAATTTGTGAAAGTCAGTCACTGGCTGCAACCCCATGTTTGCCTAATAAAATGACAGATAATAAAAGAGTACCAAGAGCACTGGACATCTCCACATTAACAGAGTAAGACTGTGAGATCATTACAAATCAGTATTTTATCACTTCAGACTCGATGATCTGTCGTTATTTCGTCAAAAACACCGAGCGTTGACCCGGCCGGCACCGCACCGGCCCCCGCGGCGAGCTAGTCGGCTCTATACTGTAGTGTACCCCGCGTGCGGGGTCACATGTTTTCCAAGTCCCACGGAAGGATTGATGCAAAATAATTCCAAGCTGATTACTTTATTCTAATAGAAAATAAACTGATCTATTCATTGATACCTTTTTTAAGCCGGTATTTTACATATTTCGTGTAAAAAATGATCTTTAAAAAAGTTGACGGTTTTTAAAAAGGCTTTTTATTTAAATGCCAAAGGCCAAAAATATACCACGGGAAAGCCCGTTCAAAGCTCTACAGTTCTCCGCCAATGAAAAGACGGTATTTAATCATCCCTCGTTCCGCGAAGCATTTGAATGCACGCGTGTCAATTTTTGAACTGGCCGACCACGCATTCCGACCGCGAGGGGCTCCGCTTTCCTCGACGATTCTCCAGCTCCTAATAATCGGACATATAACCAACTTACACCATTGTAACGAGGAAAAGCTAAACTTTTACAAGGTGTATGGCACTTGGTGTTTTATAGCGAAAGAGCAAAGAAACAGCAATCGGAATTACCCCAATTTCACCGATACCGCGCGGTCGGAAGGCCGAGAGTGCCCACGAGGCCGTGTTTACGCTATTTATACAGTCACCTCATCCCTGTGTACATGTGACTGTCTGTATCTCCCCAGGTGGGCATAGAGTTCATGGACCTGTACAGTCACCTCATACCCGTGTACGACGTGGAGCCTCTGGAGAAGATCACCGACGCCTACCTGGACCAGTACCTGTGGTACGAGGCCGACAAACGCCGACTCTTCCCCCCCTGGATCAAACCGGCTGACCAGGAGCCCCCGCCGCTGCTCACCTACAAGTGGTGCCAAGGTATTGTGACGTCATTCTCACCATGTTGTCATGTTACTGTCATCTTTTTCCTTCACCATATTGTGCCGTCATTCATCTTTCCTGTATAGATGCAATCTATTGTTGTTTATTATGTAAAATTAAAAAGCCAATATTTTCACTTGCTGGTCCTGTTGAGAAGATAATCAAATCCTACACTTGCACGTGAAAGGTGGTCACTTGTGAAAGTATATAGTTCCTAAAGCTGTAAAATACCAGTGACTGAGATGTGTTGAGGGGGGGTGTTTGTTTGCTTTTTTTTTGCTCTTATGGGTTTGTAAACTTGGTGTTGTATTGTTTTGTGTTGTTATTGTATTGAATCATGTTGTGTTGTAATGGAATGTGTTGTGTTGTAATGTATTGTAAGGTGTGATGTTGTGTTGTAATATTGTGTTGTATTGTAAGGTGTGATGTTGTGTCCCCGCAGGCATCAACAACCTGCAGGACGTGTGGGACACGGGCGAGGGCGAGTGTAACGTGATGATGGAGTCGTGCTTTGAGAAGATGTACGAGAAGATTGACCTGACGCTGCTCAACAGACTGCTGCGTCTGATCGTGGACCACAACATCGCCGACTACATGACCGCCAAGAACAACGTGGTCATCAACTACAAGGTCAGATAACGCAGCACACTCCCACAGTTGATGGGTTTACCGCCTCTCCTTATTTGTGCGGATGGCCTTGGGTTCTCCACGGTCAAAATAGGCTGAAAATCTTTGTTGTCAAAAGCTTATTTAGAAAATCATCTTGAGATTTTAGGACCCCTCACTCCCCACGTTGACATTTGTCCAAGTAGGAACATTCTGAGGTAGAGGAAGGAACATTCTGAGGCAGAGGAAGGAACATTCTGAGGCAGAGGAAGGAACATTCTGAGGCAGAGGAAGAAAATGGGGGGAATCAAAACAAGAACAAATTGACTAAATACATTTCTTTTTACAAATGTTATTGTCATGTTTTCAAATGTCAATCTCAGCAAGGTCACTCAGCGTGTACACTCTAGGAAAACTTGTTCCCCTGTCTGAACCTCCTGTCTGTCTGTAGACAGTTTTCTCACCTACAACGACAGTTATCATCTCATGCTAGACGAGATTATGTTGTGGGTTTTCTGTACATACACACGTGCACGCGCACACACACACATGCACGCACGTGCACACACACACATTTATTCAGGACTGCCCAAAATTTAGGGTATATCTCTTTATATCTAATTGAGCATTTGTTTGCAAAAAGTATGGTGGTTGGCGGGTGCTCTGGTGTGGTTTGCTTCTTCTTTCCTATTAAACATCTATCGTCCTTATCTCCCCTTTTTCTTTTTTGTGTTTGTTACTCTCTTGTAATGCCTGTAATCTTCTGGCGCTTATATGACCTTATGCAGTTGCGAGCGCCGTAAAACCTCTACTAAAACTAAACTGAAGTGTGGTTGTCCCTTATTTTTCATTTGCTAAACTTGACAAGTCGACCATTGTGTTTGTGCTGTCAAACAAGATGGAAAATACACAGTTAAATGGAAGTTTTTTTTTATAGTAAAAAATGTCAATAAAAGCAAATGTTGGTTGTGAATGCTGACCTCTGTGTGTGTGTGTCCATGCTGACCTCTGTGTGTGTGTGTCCATGCTGACCTCTGTGTGTGTGTGTCGTACAGGACATGAACCACACCAACTCGTACGGCATCATCCGCGGCCTCCAGTTTGCCTCGTTCATCGTGCAGTACTACGGCCTCGTCCTTGACCTTCTGGTGCTGGGTCTGCACCGAGCCAGCGAGATGGCCGGCCCGCCCGCACTGCCCAACGACTTCCTCACATTCCAGGTAACGTGTGTGTGCTAGTCTGTCTGTCTGTGTGTCTGTCTGTCTGTGTGTGTGCCCGCCCGCACTGCCCAGCGACGTCCTCACATTCCAGGTAACTTGTGCTAGCCTCTGTGTTTTGTGTTACTTTCTTGTAACCCTGTAATCTTCGGATTTATATGACCTATTGTGTTGCAAGTGCCTTAAAACTCTTATTACTAAAACTAGATTCAAACAGGGCTGAGTGGGGTGCAGTTTGACAGCAGACTGATGGAGATACTGGATGAACAGTGGACGGACAGAGGTACTGGATGAACAGTAGACAGACGGAGATACTGGATGAACAGTAGACGGACGGAGATACTGGATGAACAGTGGACGAACAGAGATACTGGATGAACAGTGGACGGACAGAGATACTGGATGAACAGTGGACGGACAGAGGTACTGGATGAACAGTGGACGGACAGAGATACTGGATGAACAGTGGACGGACAGAGATACTGGATGAACAGTAGACGGACGGAGATACTGGATGAACAGTAGACAGACGGAGATACTGGATGAACTATCTGACCGGTTGTGACCCACAGCAGACGGACAGAAATACTGGATGAACTAACTGACCGGGTGTGACCCACAGCAGACGGACAGAAATACTGGATGAACTATCTGACCGGGTGTGACCCACAGCAGACGGACAGAAATACTGGATGAACTATCTGACCGGGTGTGACCCACAGCAGACGGACAGAAATACTGGATGAACTATCTGACCGGGTGTGACCCACAGCAGACGGACAGAAATACTGGATGAACTATCTGACCGGGTGTGACCCACTTGGGAAGTGAACTTGTGTCTTGTGCATGCCCCAGCAAAGAGCTTTGCCATTACTGTAGGGTCGGGTGTATGGAGGGTCTTGTGTGGTCTGCGCCTTCTGCTTTTTTTCCCCCTTTGTGATCATTGTGGGTGGACCTGTAGCTGACGTGCTCCTCCGTGCTCTCCTCCATTGTTCTGCCAGTTGTTTCTCTAATCAATGGAAATTTCACTTCTAGATGAGCAGAATACATTGTTGGCCCAGACTTGTGTAGTGTGGAATGTGTCTGTGAGAAGGACATTACATATTATTTGTATTCAGTTCAGTACCTTTGTAGATAAAAATGTTTTGTGTGTGTGTTTCAGAATGTGGTGACAGAGCAGGCTCACCCGATCCGACTGTACTCTCGCTACATCGACCGCATCCACATCTTCTTCAGGTAGGTGTTCGGTGCATGTGCTGACTCTCCTTGTTAGCTCGTGGAAACTGCCAGATCCACAGAGGTTTACAGTAGGGGATACCCAATAGTATTGAAGTAGTGTTGCCAGATACACAGAGGTTTACAGTGGTATAGTTTTAGTGTTGCCAGATCCACAGAGGTTTACAGTGGTATAGAAGTAGTGTTGCCAGATCCACAGAGGTTTACAGTGGTATAGAAATAGTGTTGCCAGATCCACAGAGGTTTACAGTGGTATAGAAGTAGTGTTGCCAGATACACAGAGGTTTACAGTATGTCAGATAGTTCAATCTACAGGTGTTTGTGTGTGTAGAGAAATAATGTCTGTACTGGTGTGTCAGATAGAGAAATAATGTCTGTACTGGTGTGTCAGATAGAGAAATAATGTCTGTACTGGTGTGTCAGATAGAGAAATCTACAGGTGTTTTTGTGTGTTGTGTTTATAGGTTCACAGCGGAGGAGGCGCGAGATCTGATCCAGCGTTACCTGACAGAGCACCCAGACCCCAACAACGAGAACATCGTGGGCTACAACAACAAGAAGTGCTGGCCGCGAGACTCGCGCATGCGCCTCATGAAGCACGACGTCAACCTGTGAGTCTCCGGATTGCCACTTTTTTGTCTGCTTTTTGTCTTTTCCTCAACCTGCAAGGGACTTGTAGGGTGTTTGCTGTGTAAGGAATGCCTGGTTCCATGCCCTTTTTTGGATAGGCTGGCATGGTTGTGGGGGGGGGGGGGGGGGGGCAGGACTGTAATACTAATAATAATAAATAGCATTTGCATAGCGCATGTCCCCGCTGGACAGCAAGCTGTTTGCGTTTTATGCTGTATTATTTCTACTAGACCCCCCTGTGCCTCTATACCTTCTGATTGTCCATTATCTATTGTGTTTTTCCCTGACACTCAATGAGTCATCACATTGATCTAATTGATATGTTTCTCTCAGAATTAAAAAAAAATACTGACACTTTTAATCCCATTTTGTCCTCTAAAGAGAGGCCGCTGGCAGGTGTCTCTTCCACAAATGGCTGTTCTCCTGTTGTTTTGTTTGCTGTTATGACTGAAGTGTCTTTCGGCCAATCCCAAAGGGGGGGATATTAACATGTTCTTATGTACAGTAGAATTGTAAATGGGCTGATTTATCAATGTCATGCTCATACTGTGCTGGAACAACATAGGGGGAACTGCTGCTTTTACTTTCATCATCCTTACTATCATCCTTACTATCATATTTTTCCTTTACTTCTTTTGTATGTTTTTCACTCTCTTGTGAACTGCTATTTCGGGGGTGCCTTGATAGTCGAAGCAGACTTTGTGCTGTTGAGGCTAGAGAGGTGAGCAGAGTAAGTCTGATTCCCCATTTGGACTTCTGTTGACATCCACCCCTTGACCTTATGCAGTTGCAAGCGCCGTAAAACATTACTAAAACAAAACCCAATGTGTGTGTGTGTGTCCCCAGGGGTCGTGCGGTGTTCTGGGACATCAAGAACCGACTGCCGCGCTCGGTGACCACCATCCAGTGGGACTCGAGCTTCGTGTCCGTCTACAGCAAGGACAACCCCAACCTGCTGTTCAACATGTGCGGCTTCGAGTGTCGCATCCTGCCCAAGTGTCGCACGCAGCACGAGGAGTTTACACACAAGGACGGAGTCTGGAACCTGCAGAACGAGGTACTGCCCGCTTTTTGGAGGTTTTTAGTTGTTGCAGAATGAGGTACTGCCCGCTTTTTGGAGGTTTTTAGTTGTTGCAGAATGAGGTACTGCCCGCTTTTTGGAGGTTTTTAGTTGTTGTGAGAGTTTTATGGCACCTACAGCACAAGGTCATAAAGTGCCGAACTACACTTTGTATTGGGAGAAAATATAGAGACAGATTTGTATAGATGGATACACTTTGTATGCGTGTGTGTGTGTGTACATGTATGTGTGTATAGAGAGAGAGAGACAAAGAGTAAGGTATGTAAAGATTTATAATGTATATGAAAAGAGAGATAGTTGTTAATGAATTATTAGTACATAATGTATTTTATACACAGAGAGAGAGATAGGAATGAATAGATTCAAACTATAAATATAGAGAGAGAGAGAGAAGGAGATGTATGAATTACTGAGATGACTGTTGACTGGTGGAATTGCCTCGTCTGTGTAAACTAACCAACAAACTGTATGTAAACTGTGTAAACTGCAAGTCAACCACAAACTGTGTCCCCCCAGGTGACCAAAGAGAGAACAGCCCAATGTTTCCTGCGAGTAGACGAGGACTCGATGGGCAAGTTCCACAACCGCGTCCGCCAGATCCTCATGGCGTCGGGCTCCACCACCTTCACCAAGGTCAGTGACATGATGCCAATTGCTGGGGGGGGGGGGGGCATGATGTGAGTCGGCCAGATCCTCATGGCGTCCACCACCTTCACCAAGGTCAGATACAGTTTTAGCCTAACAGTGTTTCTTTCTTCTAGTCTAGTGTGTTGAACGTTGGTCTAAAAGTCATCATCATCAAACATTGGTCTAAAAATCATCATCATCAAACTTTGGTCTAAAAATCATCATCATCAAACTTTGGTCTAAAAGTCATCATCATCATCCGGAGCCTTGCCGACTGGCGTGGGCGATCATGGACCTCCACTTCACTCTGTCTTGCGTTGCAGCAATGGTGTCTGTTGTTTTTGCTGCTCCCAGCCATGTTGTCATCTTGTCCAGTATCTTTTCCCTCTGTCTGCCTCTGCCTCTCTTTCCATCAAACTTGCCTGTTGTTACAATATACTCCAATGCTTCTTTCCACATTTTGTGTCCGAAGAAATTTGCCTGTGGCTTTCTTATATCTGGACAAAATAGTTCTGTCCCTTTGAGGGGTTGTCCTCTCCTACATTGACCAGGGTACTGCCCGAGAGCTGCAGTGTTCTAGGGTAATTTTAGTTGAATGGTTCCTTGTCCCATTCACACAGAGTGATCTGAACTGTGTCAATGTGTGTGTCTCTGTGTAACTGTGGTGTGTCATGGTACAGATTGTGAACAAGTGTGTCTGTGTAAGTGTGGTGTGTCATGGTACAGATTGTGAACAAGTGTGTCTGTGTGTCCCTATAACTATGTTTTGCCGTCCTGCAGATTGTGAACAAGTGGAACACGGCACTGATCGGGCTGATGACCTACTTCCGTGAGGCGGTGGTCAACACACAAGAGCTGCTGGACCTCCTGGTCAAGTGTGAGAACAAGATCCAGACGCGGATCAAGATTGGCCTCAACTCGAAAATGCCGAGTCGGTTCCCTCCCGTGGTGTTCTACACGCCCAAAGAGCTGGGCGGTCTGGGCATGTTGTCCATGGGCCACGTGCTCATCCCACAGTCGGATCTACGCTGGTCCAAGCAGACGGACGTGGGCATCACTCACTTCCTGTCCGGGATGTCACATGACGAGGATCAGCTCATTCCCAACTTGTACAGGTCAGTGGGCTCTCATCGTAGACTGAAGTCAATCATTTCATGAAATGACAGCAATTTACTTACATTTTATTCACGTTTTATTATCATTTCTTGCAGTTAATCCGTTGTTGTTACTGTATGTAATCTCTCCCTGTGCTGTATGTCCCAGATACATCATACCGTGGGAGAGTGAGTTCATGGACTCACAGCGAGTGTGGGCGGAGTACATCATGTCTTGATGTCATGTAATGTTTCCTTGTAGTGTTGTGACTGCCTGTGTAATGTTTCCTTGTAGTGTTGTGACTATGTAATGTTTCCTTGTAGTGTTGTGACTGTATGTAATGTTTCCTTGTAGTGTTGTGACTGTATGTAATGTTTCCTTGTAGTGTTGTGACTGTATGTAATGTTTCCTTGTAGTGTTGTGACTGTATGTAATGTTTCCCTGTAGTGTTGTGACTGTATGTAATGTTTCCCTGTAGTGTTGTGACTGCCTGTGTAATGTTTCCTTGTAGTGTTGTAGCAATGCCAATCGCCCGCTGCGCCTTGTGCCGGAAATCGGCCTCCGCGCGAGGGGTATTTTTTGGGCCGCTCGAAATCAGAAGTGACTCTCTTCTAAGTTTAGTTACGGGAAAACTCCTGGACGAAAATAAATTAAACTCGGCAACCAACCAGAGGAAAGGTTAAACTAACGACATGCCAGCGTACAATCCCGAACGATTACTAGAACCGGAGATATTGCCGTGTTTGTGAGAATTTCCTCTGCGGTTCGAAAACTAAGCGGAGCTGCGAGTTGATCGCCGACCACACAAGCGCCCCACATGTCTTCTTTATTGCTGTAAAATTTCAGATCTCTGCGTTTAGTAGATTTTCCGTACCAACTTAAAATTACCACCCACCCATTGATAAAACACTAGATCTAGAAACTTAATCGCGCATTCCAAACGCGAGGTGCCGGCATGCAAGAGGCGCGTGATCGCTAGGCGGCATGTGATTGGCTGCCTATAACCAAATGGGTCACCGATGACTACATCGCGGGTTTTCCCGATAGCGCTTTACTGAGTTTTAGAAGGGGTGATCACGTCGCGGTAAAAACGATGTCACGCAATTCAACAAATTTCACGCAAATATCAGTCTTTAAGATCCAAAGTAATGAAGACAACGAAAAAGTGATAGCAGAACTAGATTTGGCACTAAAAATCACATTGAGATGCCAAGTTTCATTCATATGCTCCAATTCATTACTGACTTATGAACAGTTTTTCCTCAAAATACATCAAAACATGTCCCACATTTTGGCGATTTTTTCCTATATGAATGTCCTCCAACATTTTGCAAACAAAAATCCCAATAACTTTTTTTTTTATTTATCAATGGATTTTTAAAATTTAAAAACCACAGTTCTTAGAATTTACTCTAGTTTCATTTAAGCCCATTTTTAAGCAATTTGGATGAACATTTAATTTTTCATTGTCATTGCTAAGTGTTGTGACTGCGTGTGTAATGTTTCCTTGTAGTGTTGTGACTGTATGTAATGTTTCCCCGTAGTGTTGTGACTGTATGTAATGTTTCCCTGTAGTGTTGTGACTGCCTGTGTAATGTTTCCTTGTAGTGTTGTGACTGCGTGTGTAATGTTTCCTTGTAGTGTTGTGACTGCCTGTGTAATGTTTCCCTGTAGTGTTGTGACTATGTAATGTTTCCTTGTAGTGTTGTGACTGTATGTGTAATGTTTCCTAGTAGTGTTGTGACTGTATGTAATGTTTCCCTGTAGTGTTGTGACTGTATGTAATGTTTCCTTGTAGTGTTGTGACTGTATGTGTAATGTTTCCTTGTAGTGTTGTGACCAGAGCTGTTAAAGTACTTTTAAAAAAGTACTTAAGCACAAATTTAAGTACAATCTAACAAATGTACTTAAGTACAGTAAAAGTACTTTCCTATAAAATGTACTTGAGTACAAGTACTTTTAAAAAAGTACTTATGAGTACATTTTGAGTACTTTCTGCTAATATGCTAAAACACTTCAGCGCTTATGCAAAACATATTTTATAACTTATCCAGTATATTTGACAAATTAGGCTATTTATTACTAAAAATGTAAACAGTATACAAAGCATTTGAATATACAATGTACGCACTGAACGGTGGAAATGGTCCGTGAAGTTGAACAAAAAACAACCCAAACGAACAGACGCAACTAGTGGGTAAGTGATATTATGAATAGAACTTGTTTGAGCAAGATAATGTGATCAAATGTAAGTCAGTCCTAGAGGTCGGAAAATTCTACAGAAAGAGTATCCAAATTGAAAAATGTAGATACAAAGTTGCTCTTCAGAAAACATAAAATTGATGAAAACGGCCCGCATAGAAATGGAAAAGTGCATTGAATTCTTCATGAACCAATCCTCAAGGAATCAATGTAGCCTTAAGCAAAAACCACCCAAAAAAAGTTTCAAAGAAATTTAGGCAGCCTAAAAATTGTTAGATACACATTGAGAACACAGTTTCAGCTTCAATTGATTATAGTGGTCTGACAGATTTTGGTCACACTGTGTAGTCCACGGCGCCAACGGCAAACCGAAATACAATAGTTTCCTAGAGTCAAGTAAGTGTAGTGTAACCAAAGATTCTCTACTGCAGTTATGACATATGGCAAGCAAAGAGTGGTCAACCTTGATTACCAATCACAGTGGCATGAGACATGCCATAAATAATATTATATATACATACTCATTAGCCTATCGTGAGTCTTGAGATCTTTATCTACGTTTATCCAGTTGCCCCCTCCCCTTTACCTGTCCAACAATGTTAGCTTTCCATCTCTGATTGAGTCCCCCCCCCAACCTCCTTTGTCATTACGCACCATTACGATGTGACCACACTAATTAAAATTCAGGTTGTCTCGCAAATTCGGGAAAAACTGCTTTCAATGGTCAGGGAAGAGTTCACAGTTTGATGTGATCCCGCCTGGAGCGAACTTGTAGGCCCTACCCACCCAGGGAGTGATGTAAGTTTAGGTGGTGAGGTCAGATGCGAGTGCAATGTTTGGGGAAAAGAAACGCATCGGTCAGTTCACACCTTGGTGTGATCCCGTCTGGAGCAGACACTGTTCCGTTTCAAGGAGTTTTACAACGCTTGTGATCACATTCACGATAGTGGCTGATCTTTGAGGCGACGGGCCGTTCTTTGATCTCAACTTTTAACTCTTGGCGGTTGATCGGGTTTTTGCTCCGTAAATTATGATCAGAAATGCCTGCACTTACCCTTTCATTAAGCTACCAAAGTACTCAAATTGTACTTAAAAAGTACTCAAAAGTACTTTTATAAAAAGTATCGGAGTACAGTAAAAGTACTGGTTTAAAAAATGTACCGGAGTACAGTAAAAGTACCGAAAATTGTAACGTAAGTACAAGTACCGGAGTACTTGTACTCCGTTACAACCAGCTCTGGTTGTGACTGCCTGTGTAATGTTTCCTTGTAGTGTTGTGACTGTATGTAATGTTTCCTTGTAGTGTTGTGACTGTATGTGTAATGTTTCCTTGTAGTGTTGTGACTGTATGTAATGTTTCCCTGTAGTGTTGTGACTGTATGTAATGTTTCCTTGTAGTGTTGTGACTGTATGTGTAATGTTTCCTTGTAGTGTTGTGACTGTATGTAATGTTTCCTTGTAGTGTTGTGACTGTATGTGTAATGTTTCCTTGTAGTGTTGTGACTGTATGTAATGTTTCCCTGTAGTGTTGTGACTGTATGTAATGTTTCCTTGTTGTGTTGTGACTGCCTGTGTAATGTTTCCTTGTAGTGTTGTGACTGTATGTGTAATGTTTCCTTGTAGTGTTGTGACTGCCTGTGTAATGTTTCCCTGTGCTGTATGTTGCCAGATACATCATGCCGTGGGAGAGTGAGTTCATCGACTCACAGCGAGTGTGGGCCGAGTACGCCCTGAAGAGACACGAGGCCAACGCCCAGAACCGTCGTCTGACCTTGGAGGACCTGGAGGACTCCTGGGACCGCGGCATCCCCCGCATCAACACGCTGTTCCAGAAGGACAAGCAGACGCTGGCCTACGACAAGGGCTGGAGGGTCCGCACCGACTTCAAGCAGTACCAGGTTCGTTTCTCTCTCTCTTCTGCCTACCTCGTTCTGCTACATGTTGAGATTTGGCCTGTCAGGATTTTGTGCCATTTATGTTTATAGAGAAACATCTGTTATTTTTCCATGTAAATAAAATGTCGAATTTTGACTGCAGGCCTTGCCCTAACGGTTTTTTTGTGTGTATATTAGGTGCCATACAGTAAAGATACCAGTAGTCGTATGCTGATCATTGTGACAATCAAAAAGATATCTGAAAGGGAGGATTTGTTCACGGTTTTTGTTGACGTCATAACAGTGAGGGACTGTGAAGAAGTGTGGGATGAGCTAGATGACATGATGACAGGACTATGTTTGTGTCTCTCTTTCTTCCCCCCCCC